CCCCCCCCCCCCCCCCCCGAGGAGTGTGTGAGCTTAGAGATGGCAGGTGGGACACTGGGAAGAAGAGCCCTTAAAAGAAATGGAAGGACCAGTCAGAGAGATGATAGAAAATGAGAGAGTGGGGCCCAGAAAGCCCCAGGAAGGGAGATCCTGCCCTGCAGGCCCTCTGGCCACCTGCTTTAGCTGCTCAGCCATCAACCCTCTGCTGGGGCAGAGAGAAAAGTGAGCAAAGAAGTGGTGACTAGAAAGCTCCTTCCCAGTTTAGGTCTTCTTATAATATCAGATGCCATAGGTGAGTTAGACCTCTGTGTGTTCGTTCATGTTCGCCCGCATGTGAGTGCATGTATGTACACACGTGTGCATGTGTATGGCAGTGGTCTTGCTGGAGAAAGGTCAGGGTGAACAGGCCCGGTCTGTACATGGCCCAGTTCCATTCTGCTCTGTAAGTGCTAAGGCTTTAACACATATGTTATAGTAACCTCTCCAAGTGGTCTGGGTATTGATTAGCTCTTGCTGCCTTCTGCTCTTGAAGCTGAGGACCTTCCCAGGCTGTGTCCCAGATTGTCCTCAGTCGTGTCCATTATTTTCGCTATAGCATCTTTGCTGCAGACATTTTTGCCATATAACTGTCTATAAGACAGTTTCACCATAAAAAGGGTAAAATAACTGACTTTTTTGTTTCTTTTTAGCAGGGTTTTGTTTTGTTTTCTTTGTTTTTGATCCATTTGGTTTTGTTTCTCCATTAATGAATTGGTGGAGAAAATAGTTAAATAATAGTAGTGGTTATAATAGTTAATATTTCTTCCAGATGACAATGATTTGCCCCAAGAGTTAGTTGGTTTCTTATTTTGAAACATGCTACGTTGGGAGGAGAGAAATAGAGTTGAATCCATATTTCCCATAGAACAATGACAAGTGCTTATGTACAGTCCACAAAATAAAATCAGGTTTTGTACAGTATTGTCATGAATCTACACACATTTTGAAGATAATCGAATTTTTATATTTCACAAAAAGTTCTTTTAATTTTTTCATTTTTAATATCCCTCTTTTGTTTGTCATAATTTTTGTCCTTTTTTTACGGCAGAAAAATTGCCTTATGGTCAATTAGTTATGCAGCAGAATGTTTGTGGCAAAAATGCTTGAGGCAGAGATGCTACAGCGAAAGTACCAAGAACTATCCTCACTGTCTCCACTGTCCCCTGTCACCTTGGCTCTCAGAGCAATCCTTGAGGTAGGCGGGCATTTTAGCCTCCATTTTACTCATTGGGTTAAACAGACTCCAAAGATTCAAGAACTTGGTCCCAGCTAGAAAGAAGTAGAGGTGGGAGCTCATGGCTAGACGCTGCCTCCCCTGAATGCAAGGCTCTGGCTTGTGCCTGTTGGTGGGACCATTGTCTAAAGCTCTAGGGAACAAGAGATCCTGGGCCAGCCCTTGGGAAGCAGAGTCTGGAGAGTGTTCTCTCAGCCTGGGCTGTGTTTATGGATTTGGGACTATGGATTCAGGCACAGCTACAGTGAGGTGAGCGTTTGGGCACAGGGTTTTGCAGGTAAGTTTACAAATAGTTGGTCATGCTGTTGGAAGAACTGTGTACTCCTCTGCAGGAGGTCAGGCCCAGAGTGCCTCAGGTGACAGCTGCACTGTCTGTGGCATGGTCCGGCCCTCTCTTTTAGAGAAGAGGGGTGGAATGGGCCCGCCATGCTGGGGCCAGGTTCCCACCTTGTGAGCAAGGAGTAGTGTCTGCATTTTATGCTGCTGCAGCTTGTCCAAGATCTGTCAGCTGGGGAGCCAGGGTGGTGCTGGACTTGAACCCAACATGGTAAGGCCAGAGCTGGAAGAGGATAAGCTTAGACCCGAGTCCTGGTCACTGGATGAAAGACTGACCCTTGGCATCAGAAAGCGGGTATTAGTACATCAACTTGTGTACAGGGACTGCAATTTCTGGAGGCTCTGACAGATCAATTGGGAATCCTCTCTGATGAGCAGAGGAAAAGATGTGGCTGTCTGAGCAATTATAGTTATTTGGGAATGTTAGGAGTTTAGGGAGCTGTCTTGAGCCCTTGCTGTTGAGGAAGATACGATAGTCCACTCTTGGTGTCCCTCCACCATTCTGTCCTGCTTCTGTGAAGTGTGGGGTGTGGGTGATTTTCACACTTTTTCACAAGAAAGTAGACTTCTGAGCAGGGGCTGCTGCTCTGCAGGTTAAGTGCAGAGCTGTGTCTGTGACTTGAAGGAATGGGTTCTGCATTGAAAAGGGCAAGAGCATTGTTCATGCTGGCCTCTTGAATGCTGGTGATGGTGGTCCCAGGGGTGTCTTCATTCCCCAGTAGACAGGTACTGTGCATCCCTGTGACCAGGCCCTGCCCCAGGTGCTCAGTGAGGGGGAAGACAGTCACAAAAACGGAGAAATGAGTCCCCTTATGTGGTGAGAATGCTAAGCAGAATAAAGGAGACAGAGTTGGGGAAAAACATAGCCCTTTTAGATGGGGTGGTCAAGGAAGGGCTGCGTGCTGAAGTAATGCTTGAGGAGCGGTCTAGTTGGGAGAAGAAGTCATGGTCAGTACCAAGCCCTAGTGTTCTCTCCATCTTCTACTTCTTGTGTCTGCTTGTCAACCAGTCTGCCCAACAGTTCCCAAGGAAACCCACATTTGAGCCCAGGAACAAACCTTGGGACACTGGTGGCATGGCATTACCTGATGAGCAGGAGCCCAGGGTCTAACCTTGGTCTTCTCATGTGTACTTCGGGGTCTCCTGCTGAGTGGCCACCACAATGCACCTTGCCTGCCTTGGCTGTGCTGTCCAGGCTGCTGGCTGGCCTCTGCTTCTGTCCCTGACTAGGCGCACATGCCACATCGAGAGCTTTTGTTCTTCTGGTAGAGGCCACAGTGGTTGACCTGATTGATCCTGAGGCCAGGTGTCCCCTCATGCCTCTAAATTGCCTCTGGGGCAAGCAGTACTGTCTGCCTGGCCTGGGTGGGGAATGGGGCCCAGCAGGGCCAGGTTCTCTACATCCTACCCCAAGCCTCCTGTTGTGCCCAGCCCCCGAGCCGGACTCTGAGCACCCTGAAAGCCACCCTCAGGGATGTGCCCAGAAGCCCAGAGCTCCCTTCCCCTGGGGAAGGGGTGCTTTTTAGTCAGACTGAGGACAAAGGGGGATTGGAAAGGTGGTCCTGTGGACAGTGTGGACAGGCTGAGAGTGTGGCAGGAATAGAGAGAGACTCGACAGGAGGACATGCTGTGTTCCAGAAAGTGTTTGGTCCTCAGGGAGAGTGAAGGGAGCAGTGTGGGGTGAGGGTCAGCTAGGATAAGTGGAGTGCTTGGCTGAGGAATGAGGCCTCTCCCTACAGGCATTGGGAAGTATGACAAGAATGGACAGTCCATCTTAGCAGGGCTGCCTGTTGCGGCTCCCTCCCCCTGTGGGCATACCCACCGGGCTACCACCCAGAGCAGAGGGTCTGTTAAAGCCTCGGCTGAGGGTACCAGAGAAAGAAGCCACAGCCTGGAACCTTTGCTGTATCAGAGGAGTGGTCACATGGGCCATGGGGATGCCTCAGTTGTGTGCAGGCCTGCATCCCAGCATTCCTGATTGCCCACCCCAGTGATGGCACTGAAGCCACCTAGACAGGCTGGATGGGGCATTGAAAGCAGACAGCACCCCACTGTGGCAGGATTAACCTGGAATCAAGGAGGCATGCAGGGGAAACACAAAGAGAAGAGGACTGTGAGCTCAAAAGCCCGTCCATGTTTCCGTGGTTGGGCTGCATCTTTCCATGTTGCCTTTCTCTCTTTCCTTGTGCCTGGCATGGAGAGATGCCACCTAGAAATGCTCGAGAGGCTTCTTGGGGTGGCATTCTGTTCTCTGTCCTCCTGAAGCAAATGGCCTTGCCCCCCTGCATACTCTGGGTGCAGGCTGATCGGTTGTTTGTACAGACACCTGTGGAACTTGGGGCCAGGGCTCTGATGAGCCAGGCATCTCACTATTCCTGGCCTGGAGCTTAGCCCTACCAGCCCAAGTAGGCCCTGGTAGCCAGATTCCCTGGGGAGATCAGTGGATCCTGATGGCCCTTCACAGTGCCACCTGGACTCAGCTCGGGTTTGTGGACATCACGTGCCAAATGACTCCTCCTAACATTTCTCCCCTCTCTGCATGTCTGATCTCGCACCCCGTGTAGGCATGACGAGTGTTTTGATGTCAGCCATCGGACTCCCTGTGTGTCTTAGCCACGCACCCCAGCCCGCCAGCCCTTCCGCCTCCTGTCTGGCCTCTAAAAGTCACAGCTCAGTTAAGAGATTGAGGAAAATGTCCATGAAAGGTAGTTTCTGCTCACAAATACTCTCTGGCCTCTGCTCAGCCGCCTGAGTCTTGCTGCCTCTGACTCTCCTGCATTGATTGCTCTTCTCTGGTTCCCATGGCCCTTCTCTGCTTCCTTCACCCCGCCGGGGCATGGGCTCCGTGGTCCTCCCTGCCCTCGGCAGCAGAGGTGGTCCCCAGGAATCTACTTTCCCCTGCAGTGCCATAGTCAGGTCCTGTCTCTCTGGCACAGTTGGAGTGGAAGGAATCTGTTCTTGAGGACTCTGTGACTTTGTAAACATGGTGTGGGGTGAGGCCTGGCTCAGGATGAAGGACAACTCTGCCCCTTCCACTGGGGCCAGTGTGTGTCTCAAGAAAGACTCCCAGCACTCTCTGGCCCCCTGGTGGAGCTACTTCAGAGGGCTCCCCTGATGACCACTGCTCTGCCCATCATCTGGCGGGGTAAGAAAGGGTTTCAGAACCGTGAAAGGTTTTGTGAGTTTTAACAAGACTTGTGTGGAGGGGTTATGGGTAGTATGTTCTAAACCTGCCATTTCTAAAGCTGATTGTGGCTCTGGCTACATCATGGGACCAGAGGAGCATAGACTGTTGAAAGACCAGTGACCTTCAGGATGGTGTAGTGAGCAGGGATCACGGCCCTGGCTCAGCTAGTACTGGGTTTTACTCTCCGCTCCAGTGCTCACTAGCTTCGTGATCTCACACAAGTGTCTTCGTTCGTGAGCAGACGCCTCCTACTTAGAAGATTGGTTGTGAAAGGAATAGAAAGTACATACATGAAGCATCTGGCACATAGTAAGGGTGGCTGCCCTGATCATGTCTACCATTTGTCTAACTCCCAACCCACAGGGTAGGAAAAAAGGCCCAGGGACGGGGAGGGCTTTACCTACCCAGCCCCCACCTCACTTCTACCTTCACCTCCAGCAGCAAGGGCAGGCTTAGAGCTCCTGACCCTGTTCCAGTTCTTGCTCTGCCTTGGAGGTAGAGACAGGTCTGTGGGCAGGGGCCGGCTGGCAGCTTCCTGAGGCATTCAGGTTTGCTTGGAAAGAACACAGGCTCTCAGCAGACCCTCTGGCCTTCCCGGGCTAGGGTGGCCCTTTCATAGGGTTGATGGTCATCTGGTTGCCCCCTTGGAGAAATGTGGCTCATGGAAAGCTACCTTCAGTTCTGAAAGGCCACTTGGGTGAGGGCAGGTTGCGGGAATGTGAGGCTAAGCCAGGCCTTACTAGAGGTGAGCCAGAGGCTAGTCCTGTTGATGGGGTCCTGGGTTCATTTGGGGACTAGCTTGTAGCCACCAGACTTTTCTGAGAGGCTCCTCCCCTCAATCTGAGTAGAGTCCCAACTACCAGCCATCCAGTACCTATGGTCATTGTGCTTTGGCCTCGCTTTCTCACCACAGCAACCGGAGTCAGGGTCCTAGAAGTCTGTATGTGTACATGCGCCTGTATGTGGGTGTTTGTGTGGGTGTGGATGTGTGTAGAGGTATGGTGTTCCTTTGCCTATAGCTACCTTTCTAGTAATAGCAGCTAATGCCTTTACAGTTATCACAGCTTTGGTTGATATTAGGTCTCCACTTGTTAGATAGATAGGTAGCCGAGACTCAGAGGTGACATGATTTGGTCCCAGCACAAGAGCCAGAATCAAACCTGATGTTGCCTGGTCCTAGCCTCTCTGCTCCCCTCAAAACTATCACCTGGCCTTCTTTGGTCAAGAGGGAGTGCAATTTTGGAACCCTCAGGCTTATAAGTCTTTGCACCTACAGGCTGATGGCCATGAGCTTGGGTTCAAACCAGAGCTCCTTGGTCTTGGAGGCTAGGATCAGGAACTCCCCAGTGACCTCAAGGCAGGACGAGAAGCCCTGCAGGGTCTCTATCCCACACTGCACTGGTCTCCTTGACCCCTTTTTTTGCTCTCACTCGAGCTTTGCTGCCATTTTCTCTGTGATTCTGCTTCTGCCTCTGTCTGGACTAATCCTCGCCCCTCTTGCTAGCTGGGGGAGTGTCTTATCCTTGGATGAAGCCTGTTGGTGCAGGGTCCACGGATAAGCGGGAGGTTTTGAGAGGAGTGGGGTGTCCAGGGCTCCCTTCCTGCTGCTTGTTAGCCACTTCCCAGAGTCGCTGAGCTTAAGAACCAAGTGTGTGTCACTGTGAGATCCCACGGTCCAGGGACAGGCTCCAGAAGACTTTGCAACTTGTGACAGTGTCAGTGTGGCCATTGTCTGTAGTCAGCGTGCACAGACACCCACACGGAGTAGGCATCCGCTATATACTTGACTCATAAAACTTCTCTTACTAAGACTTTCTTACAAGATTAGTGAAATTGGAGTGAAGCAGCACTGCCAGCACATGCTCCAGAGCAGTTTGTTCTAGAAGCCGCTATTTGACTCTTCCGTATGTCCTCTGGGGAGCCTGAGTCCTGTTTCCTGACTGAATATGCAAAGGATCTGAGGGCTGTGACTGGCTGCTGCCTCTGCCCCTCTTCCACCACCTCCAGGGCTCCTGGGTCTGGGCCTCCTGTGGGTGGGCCTGGATAGGGCTCAGCCAGCCTTGCTCCAGGTCTCTCCTCTCTTGCATGCTAACTTTCCTGTCTCAGCCCCTCTAACATACCTCCTGGCAGCTTGGACCTCTCCCTTGCTTTCCTTTCTCTCTGGTTTCAGTGTCTCCAGTTCGTACCCCTTGGGACACTGCTGATGTTCTGCTTTCTTCTAGGAGGGACTCCAAAGCCAGAGCCAGAACAAGTGATAAGAAACTATACCGAAGAGCTGAAAACAGCCCCAGATGAGGTAGGTGTCATGGGAGCCATGCTCTTTTAGTTTTATTTGGAAACAAGGGGCAGCTACAAATGAGAAGGACCCTGGTGTCTGCTGGAAGGGCACTTCTCCAGGTTCCTCAGGGTGCCAGTGCCATGCTCTGGGCACTTGGGTTTAATCTCCAAGCCTCCGGTAGGAGGCAGGCCTTACCAAGGTGTGGCAGCTATGGCTTCTGATATTTGGATTGTGATCTTCGCTTTGCCGCAAACAAGTGTATAGCCCTGTGCCATCCGGGAGGCTAGGAGTCCTAGAGACAGTGGGTGGGAGAGCCTGCCCCACTGCCCGAGGGCTGACGCTGGTATGGAAGGGAAGTAGCCCTGTCCGGGTAGCAGTCCTGCCTCTCTGGCTGTTAGGAGCACAGGTCAGGGTTCCTGTAATTAATAGGGCCTGCCGGACTTCTGTCACAGCTTCGGTAGGACCCGAACGTATCAGCTGAGCCATGTTTTGGGGGCTACAAGTGCCACTTTTCTCTTATTTGAATGGAAAATCTGGAGGAGGTGGGTTAAATGTCAGTCTTCCCAGTTGATAACTGAGGACTCTTCACTGGCCTGTTTCTCCTACAAGTCGAGTATGTAAGAAACATCTGGTTGCTGGTTGGTAAAGGTTTTAGACAGAGCCTGAAGGGCATCCTCTCCAGGACATTGTACTCCTACTTCACAGCGCTCAATTTGTCTTTTGCTTTGCTCTTGTGCTCATTGGCCACAACTGGGCTGCTTTTCCCCCGGCCTCCTCCCTCTAAGCTGCCGTCTACACAACTGACATGCAGCTGTGATCATGGCAGTACCCCCTGCTTAAAACCCCTCGGAGCCTTGATGTGTAAGACAAGCCCCAACTCCTGAGCATGCCCATCAGAAGCTTCCAGGACCTGCTCCTCTCCCTAGCTTGTCTCATTCCTAACCCTGTTCATCTCTCCTGTCCCCTGTAGGTGTCACTGTCCCTCCCAAACTGTATGCTGGTTCATGTTTTGCATCATCTTTTCTCTCTACCTGGAATGCCCGTTCCCACGCTCGTCTGTCTGAGAAGTTCTCTTTTATCTTGTAAACCCAGCTTGGAGGGCCTCTCCTGTTTTTTCCTCTCTATCTAGCTGTTGTCCTGTGCTTATGTTAGTGCACTGGCCCCTGGGCTCAGTGCTGCCTGTCATCCCTCCTACTATGGTGAGCCCCCTGAGGGCACAGATCCCAGTGACTCATCTGTGTTCCAGCCTCAGGAACAAACGATTGTTGAATTGACTTAGACTGTAACTCTGGCATTTCAGCAGATGAAGGCCTTTTCCTATGAGATTTACCTCTTTGGGTGCAATGTCGCTTTTGGTGAGTGTGCCCTGTGTTTGGTTCCCCTTCAGGACTGCATCATCTGTATGGAGAAACTGTCTGTGGTGTCTGGCTACAGTGACGTGACTGACAGCAAGACCATCGGGCCAGTGGCTGTGGGCTGCCTCTCTAAGTGCAGCCATGCCTTCCACCTGCTCTGCCTGCTGGCCATGTACTGCAATGGGAACAAGGTGCCCACATGCTGGTCTGGGGTGGGCACCAGGGGTGATCCATCTGGTCATGCTGCATGAGCAGGTGACTGTAGCTGTCCTATGAAAGACCCGAGGTGTTCTCGTAGACAGCCCCTGCCCTGCAGCAGGATGAGGGTCAGCACCCGGGGGCTGGGGGTGGCACCTCGTGATGCCTGGCTGTGCTTCAGTGGAGTTTAGCCAAAACAGAGAGAGGTTGGGAGGACAGAGAGAACTGAGTCACATGGCAGACCTGCAGGCTTTGCTTGGCTTCTCTCCACAGTATCCTGACGCATCCTGTACCAGCCAGGGCACTGACACCAAAAGTTGATCAGTCATAGGGTTTCTCGTTTGATTTTAAATGTGTTTAGACCGTGGGGACTTCTGCTCATAAACTTAATTTTCCTACCTGATGCCAGTCTCCTGGATATTTGCCCCCTTTAATAAATTGTATAACAAGTTTCTGGTACAAAACTTGCCTTTCCAAGGAAGCTGTTGGTATCAAGTTTCTGTGCCAGGGGGCTGCCTGGGAGTTGGGGCCATCTGCCCACAACCTGCCTGTTGTGTGGCAGAAACTGACCTTTCCCCTTGTGGGCCTCCTTCCTGTCTAGACAGTGGGTGGCTGTCCCTTGGTGCTCTCTCAGGGCTGCCAACTCAGTATGTGGCATTCTGCCTTGTCTCAGGATGGAAGTTTGCAGTGTCCTTCCTGCAAAACCATCTATGGAGAGAAAACTGGGACCCAGCCCCGGGGGAAGATGGAGGTGTTCAGGTTTCAGGTGTCCCTCCCTGGCCACGAGGACTGCGGGACAATACTCATAGTTTACAACATTCCTCACGGCATTCAGGTAAGGGGGCCCTAGCACCAGAGGAGCCTCTTTGGATTTTTGTGGACGCTGTCCCTCTCCCAGCAGTCTGCCCCCTGGTCACTGTGAGGATGCCCGAGCTTGCCAGACTCAGGCTCCCAGGAACCAGGAGGCACTAGCGCTGAGGGTTATAGCAAGCTCTTTGGGCTGTGGAAACAGAGATGGCCCACAGCCCTTTCCTGAAATAGGGAGGGCTTCCTAGAGGTAGAAGAGACATCTTATCTGGACTTGTGCTGGATAGAAGGCCAAATGTATAAACAGGAAGAACATTCGTGTTGAGGGGCTGGATAACTGGTGAGCCCATGGGCAGGAACCCTCCTGCATGGAGGCAGGGCATGGGGCGGGGAGGTGCCAACAGTGAAGACTAATTGAGAGACCAGCTCAGTTGCTAGGTCAGGCCTGGGTTTGGAGGGACAGGGCTGGGTCTGGATGTTGGGAATAAGGCAGGAACCCCAGCAGAAGATCCCAGGGTCCCAGTGGAGACCCAGACAGGAGCACTGGCCCCTTAGGCCTTCTTTGGGCCAGCGTTGATCTCAGAGCCTGGGGCAGTAGGAGAAGATTACCTGGAACCCGATGGGGCCCATCCATCTACCATAGATGGTAGATGTGTTTTGTTTAATCACATGCTCTTCCTTCATATCCCTCCACTTCTCCTTGGCTCAGAGTGAAATTTAAAAACATTCCAGACAAGGATAGAACCACAGGGCAGGAGGGGAACTTGGAGCCGTACATGGTATGTCACTGTGTGGCAGAGGGCAGGAGCAAGGGTTGTCTGCCATTCCAGCCCCTGCCCTCCTGTCCAGGCTACTGCCATTGTCTCACGGCCCTGCTCCAGCCACTTTTAAAGTGAGGAGTGGAGGGGCCTGTGTGCTGGAGTGAGGGCGTCCTGAAGGCTGACCGGCCTTGCCGTCCAGCCCAGAGAGGCCAGTGCCCAGAGGTTCGCCGAGGAAGTAGGAGCCTCTGTTCCAACCTCTGAGGGATTCCAGTGTTACCAGGGAAATAAAGTTAGCAGGAGTGTCTGATGCCAGGTCGAGTGGCACGTACTCAGGGAGGGTGCTCGTGGGTGGAAGGACACATTAATGTTGGATCTTCGAGGGGCAGGATTTGAAACAGCAATTTAGTTACTTGAGCACAGGAATAGCTCTGGCTGGGAGGGCGAAGGGGCAAAGCTGGGCCTCTGTGTCCTGTGCACCTTTCAGGGCACCCCCACTCCTCTGTGTTTCCCCTGCAGGGCCCTGAGCACCCCAACCCTGGGAAGCCATTCACCGCCAGAGGGTTTCCCCGCCAGTGCTACCTTCCAGACAATGCCCAGGGCCGAAAGGTAATGTTCCTGCTGCCACTGGCACCTGCTGGTGCCAGTGCAAGGTGGGTGGGGTGAGGAGGGCCCGGTCTGGCAGTGGGAGGCCTGGTGGCCACACTCATCTCTACCTCTACGCACCTTACTGCAACAGGAGGAGGGGGACTTGACCCGGGGCTGGCTGAGGTGTGGGCCACTCCTTCCTGGGGACCCTGCTGTGGGTTAGGCATCAGGCATCTTCAGCGTGCCAGGAGTACAGGGAGAGATGACCGGACTTTACAAGGGCTCTCGTGGGGAAGAGTAGCCATCTCTTCTAACAGCCTATTGGGCCAGGTTATGACTCTGCACTGAGACCTGAGTTGGGACTTTACTTGCGCATGGGAGAGGCAGACAGAACAGCCAGTATGGCAGCTTTGAGATGGGAACAGGCTTGGAAAATGTGAGGAGCCTGAGGGAGAACCAAGTGAGTGAGGGGGAGTGAGGTGGGTCGGGGTGCCCTCCAGGCCAGCCATAGGAATTGGGCTATATTCCAAGCATTGTGTGATGCTGTGAAGTGAAGGCATGTCAGCAGAAGAGTCAAAGCTGCAGATTTTAGGCTTGAGAAGCTTCCTCTGGTGCTGTGAGAGGATGGATTCCAGGTAGCCAAGTGTGGAGAGCAGCATGAATGGGATAGAGCAAGGACACTTGGATTCAGTGAGAAGAGAATGGAGCTCATCCATCCAAGATGTACTTGGAAGTAGGGAAGAATCAGGATGGCTCCAGGTTTGAGGGCTGAATGGATGGCAGCTCTGAAGTGGGAGGACTGGCTGCGGGGTGGGGCCAAGACTTGAGTGTGGAGGTGCCCATTGTGATGTCTCATTGGACTGTCAGATCAGCAGTTGGAATTTCAGGGGCGTCAGGGCTGGAGCCAGAAGCTAGGAACCCCCACAGGTGAGACTTCATGCCCCAGGACTATGGATGACATCACAGACAGTGGAATGAAATGGAGAGGAAAAAGGTCCCAGCACCTAGGAGCCCTGCCAATGTCAAATGCACCAAGGGCTTAGCATGCCACATGGCACAACCCACAGCTGACGCTGGTGTGTGGTTAGTACTCCCGTCCTCATCACTGGGACAGATTAAGGACCAGGGGATAGAGTAGTGGATGCTCCCACCCTGTCGCCTGGACACTCTTGCCCCAGGGTGAAAAACTGAAGCACAGGCCAGCACCTGATCACCCTTCCTTCTCTCCCTCCACCTCTCCTCTTCCTTCTGGGGCAGGTCCTGGAGCTGCTAAAGGTGGCCTGGAAGAGGCGACTTATCTTCACAGTGGGGACATCTAGCACCACAGGCGAGACTGACACAGTGGTGTGGAACGAGATCCACCACAAGACAGAGATGGACCGCAATGTGACAGGCCATGGCTACCCTGACCCCAACTACCTGCAGAATGTGCTGGCTGAGCTGGCCGCTCAGGGGGTGACCGAGGACTGCCTGGAGCAGTAGTGACCACCCAGCCTGGCAGCCAGCCCCCTACACTTACTGCTGGCTGGGCTGCTCCTAGGATGGGCAAGTGAGAAGGTGCCTTTCCTCGGAGGCTGGAATATTTGTTGCGGGCACGGGCGTGCTCCACGGAAGTTGGGGCTTTTCCTGTTTGCCTTTCCCCCTTCTTCCTCCCCTCCAGGCCTGGGTCTGTGTTAGAATTGGGCAAGCCTGGGGAGTTGTACTTGTGGGGGCTTAAGATGCAGCTACCTCAGTGCATGGAGGCCGTCTGTCCTCAGCTGGCTGTGTTGGGCCTGCAGTGCTGGGGGCCTGGCATGGGATGAGGAGAGACTGCCTTACTCCCAGCCAGGGACAGGCATGGGTCTGGATCAGCTTCTCATACCTCAGATGTTCTGTTTGCAATAAATGCCCAATAGCCAAAGTAGGCAGGCCCTGGTGCGTTTGTCAGTGGAGAGGCTGTATGTGTGTGTGTGTGTGTGTGTATGTGATGTGTGAAGGCCAGCACACCTGTCCTGCTGTATCAGAGCAGGAAGGGATCTTATGGGCTGCCCATTCAACCCTTATGTCTTAAATGAAGAAAGTGAGGCTGTGGTGAGGGCCAGAGGGCCCATGGCACTTGCCCGTGTTGCTTCCCTGTTCCCCACTCCAGTTCCCCTTGCAGTGTGCAGTCTGGCAACTCGGAGCCCACCATCTCATTACTTCCTCAGGTCCTGGGGAGCGTTGCTCATGTGAAGTAAGTGCTGCTGTCTCCATTTTACAGATGAGAAAATTGAGGTTCAAGGGCATAGTAACTGGCCCAAGGTCCCGACTAGTGGTAGAGCCAGAGCTAGAATCCAGGCCAGGATTGGTCTGATGCCATCCTCAAAGTTCTAATTCTTCTGGACCATCTTAGAAGGAGAATCAAATATTCCCAGACTTGCTCTCTGCCTAGGGGCAGTGCTTGTAGCCTGGGGCTGGAGGGACACAACCACATTTTGTGTAGGCTTGTGGCACTTTTGCCTTTGCGAGCCCCTTTCTCCATAAGAAGAAAAACTTAAATTTTGTTCTATGATGTGTTGGTATAAATCTGAATATACTTTAGAGCATTTTCTTCTATCTAGAAGTTCATTCTTTTCCCCTTCTGATTTTAAAAGAAATTAAGATGTTTTCCTGGGTCTCTAAAAGTATTGTGGACCCTGGGCACTGTACCCAGTGAGCCTCATGGAGGAGCTGGTCAAGGTCATAGTAACTGGCCCCCAAAGCAGGGAGGCCTGGCTGGACCCCCAGCCTGTTTGGTTCCAGGATGAGACGTGCTCCACTGGCCCACAGGGCATGGGAGTTGGATGGGTGCCAGTTGAGTGCTGCCTTCATCTTGGTTCCCACCATTGAAGTATAGTGAGAATCAGAATGGGAAAACATGTTTACAAATCATCTGCCTGTTGGGGGTCTAGTATCCAGGGTATATAAGGAACTCAACGACTCAACAATCCTTTGCTTTTAAAAAACAAAGGATTTTTCTCCGAAAAAGATATATAGATGGCTGGCAAGCACATGAAAAATGCCCAGTGTAATCAGGGAAATGCAAATCAAAACCACAAAGCGATACCACTGCATACCCAATTAGAATGGTTATTATTTTAAAAAAATAAAGGGAAATAGCGACTTAATGAGGATGTGGAGAAATTAGAACCCTCATCTGCTGCTGGTGGGGATGTAAAATGCAGCTGCTTTGGAAAATGGGCAGTTTCTCAAAAAGTTACCGTATGACTAAGCAATTCTAATCCTAAGTTCGTATCCAAGAACTGAAAACATGTCTATACGAAAACTTGATCGTAAATGTTCACAGCAACGTTATTCATAATAGCCAAAAAGTGGGAAATACCCAAATGTCCATCCACCAATGAATGGATAAACAAAATGGAATGTCGATCAGAAGCACTGATACAGCTACAACATGGATGAACCTTGAAACAGGATGCGGAGTGGAAAAACCAAACGGAAGCCCACATACTGTGTGATTTCGTTTATGTAAAATGTCCAGAACGGGCAAATCCACAGAGGCAGAAAGTCGATTAGTTGTTCTCCAGCGGGTGGGTGGAAATAAGGGGTCACTTTTTCATGAGTACTGTGTTTGTTCTCTCTTGGGGTGGTGAGAAGGTTCTGGAATTGGTTGTGAAGATCACACAACTTGTGAATGTACTGAAAACCAGTGAATTGTATACTTTTAAAGGATGAACTTTGATATGTGAATTATATCTTAGTAAAAAAAAATAGAACCAAAGGGAGTAATGTAATTGGGGGTCTTGGCAGCTGTCAGGGGCTCTTTTAAGTTCTTGGGACAAGGGAACTGAGGAACAAGGGAGTACATGGCCTCATGGAGGGAGGGCAAGGCACAAGATGGCAGCAGGGCCAGGGGAGCTGTGATGGGGCTGGAGCTGGACAGGTTGGAGCTCCTTCAGGCTTGCTCCTGAGTGAGGATAGGCCAGAGGAATTCTCCTGGCACCTGGGGTACAGGAATCTCAGGCATGTGGCCCTGAGCCCAAGTTTCCACAGATCGGCCCTCCTCCCTAGGGTTGGGAAGCTGAGAGGCTGGCTGGGGCCTAAACTCAGACATGGGACTCCCGAGGTGGCTTGGCCAGCAATCTGGGCGTCCAGTGGCCTCTTCCTCAGTTTTCCTGGGTCTGCCTCACACTGGAGCCCTGCCTAGAGCCCTCCCTGTAGTGGGCTGGGCTAGGCTGCGGGGAGGAGTTGGGATGTATTTACGTTTTTAGATCTTTCCAGCCCTAGGCCAGCCTGGCAGCTTGACTAACCAGCTCTTCCAGGCCCAAGGTATTGGGGAGGAGGGGTGCTGCAGGAGGCAGCCAGGACAATCCCAGGCTGTGGATGTGGTAGAAGGCAGCCATCATGGAGCTCCCCCAGTGGAAGCCTCGCCCACGGTTGCTGTTTCTTGCGGTGGCACTAGTCTGGCCCCAGTGCTGTGTGAGCCTGGGTGAGTTGGGGTCCAGGGATTGGATGTGCCAGGCCACACCCAAGGGGTTGGGACACATGCTGGAGTGATTGGATCCTGGGAGCCCCATGCCCTCCAATTGGGAGAGGCAGCCCTAGGGGCAGTGGGCCCTAGGACCCTCACACCTGTCTCCATGGCTGCAGAGCTGATCCCCTACACGCCGCAGATAACATCCTGGGACCTGGAAGGGAAGGTCACGGCCACCACGTTCTCCCTGGAGCAGCCGCGTTGTGTGCTGGATGGGCATGCCAGTGCTGCTGACATTGTCTGGCTGGTGGTGGCCTTCAGCAACGGTGTGTCCTGGTGCAGGTGTGGGGCATGGGGCAAGGGATGTGGCTGAGGAGAGGTACTGGGTCTGGGCAGCCCCTCACTGTGATGTCCATAACTAGGCTTGGAGTGAGAGTTTATCAGAACGGGGCTCCATAAGGGTAGCATGGAGGGCCAGGGGCTGTGGCAAAGAAGACCTGGCTTCACCTGCCTGCAAGACCCACCTGTTTGTCCCTCCTTCCTGCAGCCTCCAGGGACTTCCAGAACCCACAGACATTGGCTGAGATACCAGCCTCCCCCAGGCTGCTGACCAATGGCTACTACATGACGCTGCCCCTGTCACTGGACCAGCTGCCCTGCGAGGACCCTGTGGGTGGCAGCGGTGCCCCTGTGCTGCGGGTGGGCAATAACTCTGACTGCCTGGCAGACCTCTACCAGCCGTCCTACTGCAATGCCCCTCTCCCTGGCCCTGGACCTTACAGGTGAGGTGGGTCACCCCACCTGGAACCTGGGATGGGACAAGGGCTGTACTAGGAGAGGAGGGCTTTCAGGGACCAGGGTTGCCCCCCATAGCCTCTCCTCCAGGCCTCATCCTGGCTGTAGGCTGAAGCAGGCCCTTCTTCACAGCCTTAGTTTCTTCCTCTGGGGTTGGGGAGCAGTGCTCATCACATCCAGGGGGCAGGTAGAATGCAATCTTTCCAGGGGGGCCAGAAGGAAGTGGTGGTACCACAGAGAAGGTGGGGGTGGGGTGGGCCTTCAGGGCTGCAGTCACAGGCCCACTGTCCCTCCCGTGAGTAGATGTGACAGGAAACTAAGCCGAGTGCTGAGTTGAGACCCAGTCAGTGGGTTTGAGGCAGGGAAGCAGGAGAGAAGACAACCACCCAGTTTTACAAGTGAAGAAACTGAGGCACAGCACCAAGTGGCTCGTTGAAGTCAAGGTGGAGACAGGGCAGAAGAGCTGGTGTCCAAATCAGGGCTGCCCAGGCCATAGGACAAGGTCAGGTGTCCTCAGGGAGACCAAGTCCAGCTGGGAGGGCCAGCAGGGGCACAGGGAAGGTGGGTGTGGTGTGGGCTAGGCCAGCACCTCCCTCGCCCTCTCACCCAACCCTGCCAGGTCTCCCTTCCCCCGCTTCCTCAGGCCCACTCCCAGGCTTGGCCTCCATCCTTAGCAGCCACAGGAGCCAGCTTCCTTTAGTGCCAGCCTGCTTGGGTCCTTCAGTGCTCAGAAACCTTCCAGAGCTTCCTACCCCCCCGCAAAGATACAACCGAGCTCCTCCGCATGGCCCTTGGCACCCTCAGTGCCAGCCTACCTCCTCACTGTGATCCTGGGCTCTGAGTGTGCCCTGAACGCAACCCCTCCCTCCCTGGGCCTTTACCCAGGATGCTCACCCCTACAGGGGGGCCTTCCATGACTTCAGAGACTCCATGGGGCCAGCGGTTCTGAGAGGCTTATGGCCCCCAGCCCATGCACCCCGCTGAGCCACCCTGAGGCATCTGAGTATGATATTTAGTAACTAGGGTCTCTAAACCAGATAGGGTATCTGGCGAGTAATGGTTCAGACAGATTTGTGTGCTGGCAGGGAGTTCTCAGAGAGTTCTCTGGTCCTGGTGTGTCCCACTCTCCCCTATACCTGGGGAAGGAGACCCATAGCATGGCCCAGAATCGCTGCCTGGAGTCTGGCTGTAGCAGGTGCCCTGTCCAGGGCACTGAAGCTCTGAGGCTCATCCCTCCTCCTCTCCCCAGGGTGAAGTTCCTTCTTGTGGATACCAGGGGCTCACCCCAGGCCCAGACCAGGTGGTCCGACCCCATCATTCTCCACCAAGGTAGTGCTGGGGAGGGGCCGCTCTGGCTCTAGTCTGTCCCACGTGGGCTTGACTCCCTCTGCAAAAAGGTCATGCTCAGCTGACCTATCCCCTGCTGCCACAGAACTGGGGGCCTGGTGGCAGTGTTCAAGTCCAGCTCCGCCCCCAAGAGCACCAGCTCTGTCCAACCCCAAATGTTTGCTGGTATTTGGGTGCCCAGGCCCCAGCCCATTTGTGGGCAGAAAAGGAGGAGGCCAGAGTAAGTCAGGGCCACAGGTTCTGGAAGGCTTCCTTCAGTAGGGCCCCAAGAAACCAGTATGAGTGCCCAGGCCAAGGAACCTGCATGCATGAAAGCCGGAGTGTCCAGTGTGGGGAATGCCTGGGACCAGAGTGGGGGTGGAATGAGGCCTTGTTGTCTGAAGGCCTTGAATGCCAGGCTTCAAGGAGCAGGGCAGTCACATGGTCAGTCCTGAGGTCTGCCACCATTCTGCCTGCCATGGATGGACCAGTGGGTGGGCACATTGGTGGGAATAGCCTAGAAGTTAAGAGCAAGACAGAGACTAGAAGTGATGGGTGGTCCAGGATGGCAAGGCACAGATACCCATCTGAGGTTGACAGATAGGTGGGGCTCAGGAGGCTGTCTGAGTACAGGAGGTAGCCAGGCCTTAGGCGTGAGCACAGGTGGGGAGGTGACTCTGCCAGGGTCCAGGGGCAGCCTCTGAGCATCTTGCTGTGTGTTCAGGAAAGTCCCCAGCCTCCATTGACACATGGCCAGGACAGCGAAGTGGTGACATGATCATCATCACCTCCATCCTCTCTTCTCTGGCCGGCCTCCTGCTCCTGGTCTTCTTAGCAGCCTCCACTGTGTGCTTGTGAGTGGTGACACCCCAAGGGCCTGTTCCTCACCCAGCGTGCCTTCCCTCTCCTTGGCCCCAGCACCTGGAAGGCCTCCCTGACCCTGTGGCTTTGAGCTGGGAGGTGTCCCTACAAGGGCTGTGCAGGGAATTTCAACCCTGAGTGTCTCTCCCCTGGGAAGTCAGCTCCTCTGACCACAAATTCAGAGAAGGGACCACCTCGCTCTGCCCCTGTCCATCAGCGTGTCCTCTACCTGGGCCCTTGTCCTCCTGGGTCTTTTCTCTCCAGTGAGTCCTCCATCGTTTTAGTGAAGTGACACCAGGTTAGTCAGTGTGGCCACCTGGAGAACACAGACCTCCAGCTAGTTCTAGAAAGGAGGAAAGGGAGATCAGAGGCTGAAGAAGGAGGGATCAGGAGTGGGGAGGAGGCCCTGACCCCAGGCAGCCTGCTCCACCCAGCAGAGACATAGCTCCTCCTTCTCTCCCTGTCCAGCTCCAGCCTGTGGTGGCCTGAGGAGGCCCTAGAGCAGCTACGGACTGGCTCCTTCATGGGCAAACGCTACATGACCCACCACATTCCACCCAGCGAGGCTTTCACCCTACCTGTGGGCTGTGAACCTGGCCTGCACCCCCTGCCCAGCCTCAGCCCCTAGCCTGGCCTATGTGGCTGGGGCTGGGGAAGTGGGGGGTGCACACCCACACGCTTCCTCCCCCGTCGCACTCCCTCACCTGCTTGAAATCCTACAACTGGCAGCCCTGACTGGCTTGCCCATTTTCCACTCTCCAGGCAACTGAAGTTGCATAAAGGGGAGTTCGGGGGAGGGCCATGGCCAAGCTGGACATCCAGCCGCCACCTCCATCCCTACCTCTGTTCTGCCTGCTGTCCTATGAGTGAGGCTGGAGGTAATGTGGAGAGGCTGCCCTGACCAAAGCTTCCAGGCCCCAGGAGAAGGCCTGCAGTGTCATTGCTCTGCCCTGTGCAGGAAGCTGAGCTGGGCTCATTATGGAGTGATGAGCCTCCTTCTGTCCTGTCCCATCTGCCAGTGGCTGGGGCTGCAATGAATCCTTTAGAGAGGCACTAGCCCTTATGAGGCTGGCTGGAAGGTCAGACAGTGTAGAAGCACATTACGACTATCTGGCCTCTGATTTGGGCCACCACTTCTACCCCTCTTGCACATGTAGATGGCTCACACACTTATCCACTCACTTTCATTCCACACACATTTGTTGAGCGCCTGCTACCACACACAGTGTTAGACACAGTGCCTCAGGCAGATCTTGGGGAGCTCACCAGCTGCTCTGGACCTCAAATAACCACGTGTCATGTGTGACCTGTTACTGTTGAGGGACTGTCATGCCCTCAGATTGTCACCTGCCCTCGGGCTCACACTCCCTCGGACAGTGGGCTCTCTGGGGTACATGACCACCCCATCAAAGGGAGTACAGCCTTCATTCCCCCAGTGTCCGTCTCTACAAAGCCGGTAGTACCCGTCTTGGCCACATTAGGGCGCCAGTGCACCGCAGCTGTAGCCGCACAGCTCCGCGCATGCGCATTTCAGGGCGCTGTTGCCTGGCAGACTAAGACATGGTGACTTATTGTCAAAGAGCAGCTGCCACTCAGCGAGGTCTTCTGGGAGGACCGGGCTCCAGGCCCCATTTCAGCCAAGCCAGAGGGATGAGCAGTTAAGCCCCCGCTTGAGGGCCTGCTGCGTACTTTTCAATTTGCACAGCTGCCACAGTTTTCTAGATGGAGAAATTGAGGTTCAGTGACTTGCCCTCTGTATTCTGTCCACTGCAGCCCTACCCCATATTCCCCTGCTGCTCTAGCCTAACAGCAGCTCCCAGCATGCAGACTCTTCCCCCACCCCTCACCCCTCTCCCCCCGTGGAGGGCACTCAGTGGTGGCAGGGATGGGAGGATGAGGAGTAACCCCCCTTTTGAGGTGAATAAATGTTATCTGTCTTTTCCATCTGAGTGGTGCCTGTGCTGGTTTTAGATGAGGAACGCTTACACATGGGGCCTTGCCTGGCCTTGCTCTGTCCAGTTGGGCCCCACCACCAGCCCTAGTGCTGTCCTGAGTCTGTCCCCTTGACTGGTAGCCCTAATTGTACTTTGGGGGACTACCAGGGAAACCAACCCCGGTATCCAGCGTTAAGAAGCCTGCTACTAAGCCAGCTTATGTGGATTTAGTAGTGTTCCCTTCAAGGCAAACAGTTCAGAGGAATCTTTGCTTTTAAAACCTATGCATCCCTGGTTCCTGGTGATCTTTTCCCCATCCTGCTTGTACGCCCAACCAGCCACAAGACCTCCTCCAGGTACAGACAGAAGCAGAGTTAAATGCAGCCAGGACTTCAGGCACTGGTATCCTGGGTGACATCTGGCTATAGGAGCCAGCCCCTTTGGGCAGCTACCCTTGAAATCCTGCTACTCTGGGACCCAGGTCCCTTTTGGCCCCTTGGAATTAGAGGAGGGAGAAAAGCCCCCCACCC